AAGATATAAACGAGCAATTCTTAGAAAAAAAGACTGTATTGCACGTTCATAACTCACAATTGCAAGATATAAAAAGAAGCGATTACTTTTTTAATATATTCTGTGGCAGAAATAAGCGTTCATAAAGTTAGTACTTAAGTATATGGAAGCTTATTTCCACCACAGAATAAAAATATAAAAAGGCAATTGTGACTTTTTTTATCTCACAGTTCAGACTTTTTTTCCCCCTCAGGATTGCAAGTTTATATCTCACAGTGGCTATAAACTATAAACTATAAACTCACAATTCAGAATTTACATATTGCAATTAATAACTCACAATTGTGAGATATAAACATGCAATTCTGGAGAGAAAAGTATTATATATATATATATATATATATATATATATAAATATAATATTTATTTATTTATTCCATGGCAGAAATAAGCTTACATAAAATAAGCAAGTAAATAAATCAATAATAAGTAAGCAAGTAAATAAATAAATAATGAGTAAGCAAGTAAGTGAATGAATGAATTTGTCGACTAAATTTTACCAATTAAATTTTATTAAACAAATTTCAGTAATGAAGAACATTGTTACTCGCTTGTATTTGGGGTCAGTGTTGGCCAGCTGGATTGTTTTGGAGTCGCTGACAGAAACTGCAGCAAGAATATTCTGCTCTATTGCCATTGGCAGGACAGCATAGCCAACAAAATCAATATGCTCTTGGCAGGACAGCATAGCCACAATAATCAATATGCTCACCTGAAAATGATAAGATGTAATATAAAATGCAATGCTGATGGTATTTTTTTAATGTTTACACACTCACACTGTTTGCAACCCACCAATCAAATTCACCCTCCCTGGAGCACAAGCGTAGAAGACAGGCATTTGTCCATATGTTTCATGAAAAGCCTCTTTCAGTTTCTGCAACCTAACAGAAAGAAGGAGGAAATCAGTTTTAAGTGTATGCCTAAAGAAAAAAGACAACAAAGTTAAAACTAAAAAAGCAGGGTGTAGAGCGAACAGATTCCATTCATACGCAGGCGAAGTTATCCGAAGAGCTGCACGAAGCTTTCCGAACCGTCGCAACTTACCTCTCTTTTCCACTGACCTGCACCTTGATTTTCGGTGGAATTGTGGCCATTGTGCAGTTTTTAATCTTTGTTTTGCATTAAATACACTATGCACGAGTGGACTGACACTATACAAGTGCTGTCAGCTGACTGTCACACCCGGAATCATGAGTCTAACAATACGGAAGAATCTGACACGAATCCCGCAAAGCCGTTCGGCTGGATTCGGAAGCACTCGGACAGAATCGGAACTGCGCGCACACCTTTTACAGAAGGCGCGGCGTGACGTCAAAACGCGTTTCTCGCGGAGCATTGTGGGTAAGAGTCTCTCTCCCCGGTCAAAATGTCTGACATGGAAGATGATTTCATGTGCGATGATGAGGAGGATTATGACTTGGTAAGACTGTTTAAAATAAACGCAACTGTAAATGCATGTAATGTAATGCGAAGCCAATATAGTGAAATTTAAAAATGTTTAGCGTGTTTATAGGCGCGTAATTTCGCAAACGAGTTGTTTAGCAGGTGGCTAGTTTGCTAATACTGCAAAAAATTAAGTCAAGGAATAGGACAGCCTTCTTTATTTTAAGTAGTTTTAGCTCAGAGCTCATATATAGAAGCTCTTATGTATGTTTTGTTAACTTGCAGACTCACGTGAAGTTGACTAAATTATGGCTAATGAGTTGCTAGATTTAAACTGCATGATAGCTTGTTTCAGTTTGCTGTGAAATTATTACGTATTTAAGTTTTACAGCTATAAATAATCATACCATAATTATTGTTATGCAGTTGTCATAATCATTCACCATTAAGCCGTACAGTATCTTTCAAGGCGTTTCTCTGTGCAGTTACTTATGAGTTTATGCATACCGTGCTGAAAGTGTCAATTGTTTGTTTGCTTTCACTTCAGGAGTATTCCGAGGACAGCAACTCTGAACCCAATGTGGATTTGGAGAATCAGTACTACAACTCCAAAGCCCTGAAAGAAGATGATCCTAAAGCAGCCCTGAGCAGCTTTCAGAAGGTCAGACAGAACCGAAGATCTTTCAGTGTCAGGATCTGTGCTGTGTGTGACTTTGAAAAGGTGTAATCACTGTTTTCTCTTTTGCAGGTGCTGGAGCTGGAGGGCGAGAAAGGAGAATGGGGCTTCAAAGCACTGAAACAGATGATTAAGATCAACTTCAAGCTTGTGCGTAACAATAGTAGCAGAGATTATTTATTAAATATTATATAATCATAATATATATATATATATATATATATATAATATTTATACATTGTTTTCTTATTTTCATGTGTTTTCTAAAATTTCTAAACCATAATAATACAAATATTATTATGTTAATAATTAACTATAAAATCAGATTTTTTTCATTCTTATTTTTACAGACAAATTTTCCAGAAATGATGAACCGGTATAAACAGCTTTTGACGTATATTAGGAGTGCTGTCACCAGAAATTACTCTGAGAAATCCATCAACTCTATTCTAGATTATATCTCAACCTCCAAACAGGTATTTAATGCATTTTAAACTGCTTTCTGAATTCAGTAATATATTTGTGATGATAAAATAATAATAAAGTCATGTTAATTAAAGGTTATTATGCTAGTAAAGATAATAAAATAATATTTATCTTTTCATGTTTGTTTCCAGATGGACTTGCTACAAGAGTTTTATGAGACCACACTGGAAGCATTAAAAGATGCCAAAAACGACAGACTTTGGTTTAAAACTAACACCAAGGTTTGTGCTCTAGCAATGCATTCTGTGTTTAGATGATCTGTTTTATTTAGCAGATGTTAACCGCACACTTATGTATCAGCAACAATAATATGCACAATACTATGATAATAATTCTGTTAATGCAATTTACATTAATACTGGTGCAAACCTCAGAAAGCGTCTGTATTTAATTCAGGAATATTGCTAACTTCTGCTTCTCTGTTTCCTGTAGCTGGGAAAGTTGTACCTGGAAAGAGAAGAGTTTGGAAAACTCCAGAAAATTCTCAGGCAGTTGCATCAGTCATGTCAGGTAGAGTAAAAATAAGAAAACCTGCTTCAAGTATCTTCTGTGTTGCTCTGAATCTGATTTGATGCTCTTAATTAGACGGATGTAGGGCTGTGCGATATGTATCGTCGACGATAATATCGTAATTGTTGTTTAAACGATATTTGACATTGAGTATATGGCAAAAACCAAACAAAAATACAGCCAGAGTGTGCAAGCATACACTGAGATGTAGGTTAGACTACTGCACGAGCACATTTAGAGTTCACGCTTTCACTGTGTGATTTACTCTATTAAAATACATTTATAATTCCACCGACATATGAGATGAGTGGGCATATGGCTTTTATGTCTTATATTTATATCATCTGATATAGTTAATATCTACGGAAGAGGATTAGAGGCCAAGCAATAATAAAAAAAAAATTTAAGCCATCTCGAGATTAAAGTCATTATAATGTGAGATTAAACGCGTTAAATTTCAAGAAAAATGTCAAAATAAAATGTTTAGAATAAAAGACACTCGTGTCATGTTCATCTTATCTCGTTGGACAGTGTTAGTGGCGCAGGTCGTAGAGTAACGCTCACAGATGAAGCATATGCAGTCGACTCGACTAGAGTTCGAATCCGCCTTTTGCCGAACTCGCTTTTCTTCCTTTTTTCATCACATATCACATCGGATGCTATTACACTAAGTGAAAATAGTGATATATTCTATTTACACTAAGTGACAACAGCAGCAGTTTTAGCGATGTGCTATTTACACTAAGTGAATATAGCAATTCTATTTACGCTATGCAAAAGTAGCAGATCTTTGCAATAAGTGTAAATATTAATTAATGCTATTTATACTTATAAATAGTGACAGATACTGTTTGCACCTCTGTATTGTTGTACATTAACAGGATACAATAATAACATAGGCTGTAAATGATTTTCTTTATTGAAACTAAATAGACGCTGTCTTATTGGTACAAAGCCCTCCCTATAGCCTACCTACACCTAAACCTACCCAATTAATACATCATTATTAAACACTCGTTAGTCAATTGATTTCCACTTTTCTGATGTGATATGTGATGAAAAAAGGAAGAAGAGCGAGTTCGGCAAAAGGCGGATTCGAACTCTAGTCAAACACATATGCTTCATCCACGAACATTACTCTCGACGACCTGCGCCACTAACACTCTCCAACGATATAAAATGAACATGACACGAGTGTGTGTATTCTCAGCATTTTATTTTGGCTTTATTCTTGTAATTTAATGAGTTTATTCTCAACATTATATTGTAACTTTTTTTCTCGAAATTTAACGAGTTTTTTCTCATAATTTAATGGGTTTATTCTCAACATTTTATTTCGACTTTTTTTCTTGAAATTTCACGAGTTTAATCTCGCATTATAATGACTTTAATCTCGAGATGGTTTTATTTTTTTATTATTGCTTTGCCCTAATCCTCTTCCGTAAATATCACACAAAGAGTGACGTTTTTCTCCAAATATCAGCACAATTGCAAATGTGATATTGATTTTATAAAACAGTCAATTAAACAAGAAGTTAGTATTAATTGACTTACATTTTAGACAACTTTAGACAACAGTTCCTGTTTTGCTCTATTTCGTCAATGAAAATAGTTTCAAACAAAGCCACAGCAGAACGGTTTTGCGTCTCTGACTCACTCATGCAATGATTTGCCGCCACCTACTGGCGATTTTGGGTTGATATTTAAAGTGTATTTCCCCTTTTTTTCCCCAAAATCTTTTCAATTATCAATATTCAACTTTTCCTGCATTAAACAGCCTGTGTTGATACTGATTTAATTTGATAGGTAACAGTCCTGTAGTGTCTTACTATTCAAATGTATTGATTAAATTTAAGAATTTGACAAAAAAGATGATGCATACATTTAATTAGGCTAGAAAAAATTGGTCTTATGAAAGGTAAAAATGCCCATAAAATGTAAAAATAAAAAAAAATCAATTTAAACTAATTGGAAAAGTTAATTACTCCTGCAAACTAATCACCACGCCAATCCTAAACCTGCCAAAGTACCAGCACAATAACATGCTCAACAAAATATTGTCTAAATATCGTTATCAACAAAATTCCAGAAAATATTGAGATCCTTTTTTTGTCATTATTGCACACCCCTAGACGGATGACGGAGAGGACGACTTGAAGAAGGGCACTCAGCTGTTGGAGATCTACGCTTTGGAGATTCAGATGTATACAGCGCAGAAAAACAACAAGAAACTCAAAGCCCTCTATGAGCAGTCATTACACATTAAATCAGCCATCCCACATCCGCTCATCATGGGAGTCATCAGAGGTAATGAACACATTTTTAATACCAGAGATGAAATTATGAAGAAAAAAGACATGGAAATTAGTGTTTAGTTTTGTTTTTGGTTTGGGTTGATTTGGTTTTTGTTTTGTGTATAATTGGAAAGTTTGTTTTGCTTTGGTTTGTTTTAGTTTCGTTTGAGTTTTTTGTGTACTATTAAAAAGTTTGTTTGTAGTTGTTAAAATGAAAATTAGTGTCTAATTTTGTTTTGAGGTTGTTTTGTTTTTTTTGTTTTTGGTTTGGTTGGCGCACAATTGCAAAATTTGTTTGTAGTTGGGGAGACATGGAAATGATTACGATTACATTAAACGATTAGAATCCGTGTATCATTCGATCATTCGTTTTTTTTATTTAATATTAAAAGTAGACAAATGAGAAAACGGCTCCTTTTTCGTTTTTTTCCAAAAAACGAAAAACGATAATTCAGCTTAAATTTACGTTTTTCGTTCATGGGTAGAAAAATGAATAAACAGCTTGAATATTCGATTTCTACATGTGGGCGGGAATTAAACGCCCCTTTCTGCTGATTGGTCAGCCGAAGATCAAACCGTGCCTTCATCAGTTCTTCTGCAGAATCACGCAGCAGAATAATAGTCCTCCACTGCTGCAGTTGTACTGATTAATAACCCATTATATCTGTTGTTCTCCGGTTGTCAGTCAGAATGACAGTTCTTGCGTGAACATAGGTCAACCCAAGCCAATTTATTATTCTTTCCCTTTTGTCTTAGTGTTTAAAATATTTATTTTGAAACAAATTAATTAATTTCTTAATTAAACAAACAGACTTACTGGGTGAGCAGGGTAGGCTATGACAGCTGTCATATCATACCCTGCCATGCCCGCTTTAAATATGACTGCTGCTTATTTCCTGTG